ATGCGAGCGAGCGACAAGACGTGAACGCACCTTGGTCCGGAAGAACAGCCGCAAGGGGTCCTCGCCAAAGCCCTCGCCGATCTCGTCCATGTACTGCAGGATGGCATCAGACAGGATGCTCGAGCCGGACCTACGACGATGCTGATGTCAGCCAGCGATCGACCGGCAAGCGGCGTTTCGAAAGCAAAACACCCGAGACGAGCGTTCTGGTTGTGCCACAGAGCAACAGCGGCGGCGAGACGTTCTGCGTCCCAGCTCAGCTGTCGGCGAGCGTGTTGCGGGAGCTGCACGGTAGAAGTCAGCCAAGTGAGCGAGGGGCATTGGACTCGAAAACGGACCTTGCCGAGAAGCCCGTTCACGTTGATGTACTCGATCAAGGCCTTCGCTCGGTGGACGCGGTCGGCCAGTTGCGCACGCAGGTCGAGAATGAGCGGCATGTTGACGGAACCTGCACGGTCATCTCGTCAGTCTTGGTTCAGCCTGAACGAGAGAAACGGACGAACTGGAAGCCAGGATCCCGGAGCTGACAGCAATCGCCGCGACCGCCAAGTCACCCTCAAGGTCAGGCTGCAAATCAAACGCGAGCGGGTTCTGCGCCTCGTTTGTGCCGAAGAAGACGGCCTGCTCGATGCGAGTCTGCAGCCGGCGGGTCTTGTAGCCTTCGGTGCCGCGCGCAACGAGCCGGTGTCCTTGCGGAGGAGAGACGCTGACTGAGAAGATGGAGGGCGAGGAGGTGAGGAGCGAGAGGGTCTCGATAGTGGCGGTGGCAGAGGGGTGGTACGAAGGCATCGAGAGGCCGAGGAAGCGGTCGGTGTTTTTGCGGAGCGGGAAGGCCTCTTCGAAGGTCGAATCGTGCGCGACGGAAGCAATGACGACGGCGTTGGCGAGGATGACAAAGGCAATCTCGCCCGAACCAAGACTTAGTCCAGGCGTCGAGAGAGGGCGAGGATCGAGTCGCTGTGAAGAGCAGTGTTAGCGCTGAACCGCTATGCGAAGCACGAGTATACGCACGCTCCGGTAGGTCAGGTGCGTCAAGCCGGCGACTGCGACGCTGTTGGCGGATGTGCCGATTTCGAGCATGACGATGGCGAAAGACAGCGAGTCGGAGGCGTTCCGTCGTGGACGTGCGAGATGAGGACAGCGAGGTGTCCGCTTCTGCAGAAGTACGGAGTTGTCAGCTCCATTTGCTTATGCGAGGAGATGTGAGTACGCACGCAGTCACCGCCGCATCGACAATCTCGACCTTGCCCTCATTCAGCGCCCACTGCTCGTTGCCAACCTTCTCGCCTGCCAGCGCCTCAAGTACTCCCGCAAAGATGCCCTGCTCGACGAGGAGGTGCTCGCCTCCCTCGCTCCGTACCGGGACCTTCCACACCCCCCTATTCTCCTCTGTCGCAGCGTAGACCGTCCGCTCCACCTCGTTCGGCTTTAGCTGCGACAATGCAAGCGCGAGAATTCCAACACGAGGCTTGACTGACTCAGAGCTGAAGATGGCGGACCAGACGAATCCTGCCCCGCCGAGCGAGCATTCAAGGTGACGGACGGAAGCGTCGGCGCGAGCGTGATAGATAAGTTTGAGAGCGAAGAGGCGAGATTGGATCGTAGTGAGGAGGTAGATCGTCGACGAGACGAGCTTGAGATCCTTGACCAGCTCGCCTTGCTTCGAGGGGCACGAAGCAGACTTGAAGTGTTCGATGCCGGACGAGGAGAGGCTGCCCGACTCCCAGAAGCGCACAGTAGCGACGTTCGAGACGACGACGAGTCTACGCTTGCGCTAGCCGGCTGGCTGAACGGTTTGCGAGGGGGAGGGAACGAGAGAAGGGAAGGATACGGACGAAGGCGCACCAGTCAGATGCTGACGGGTGGCATTTGTGCCACTGTCGTTTTGAATCGGGATGCCAGACTGTCGAGTGCGGTGCGGCGACTTCGCATGCTTGACAGAGATCGCAGCCGAGTTGTCGGACTGAGGACAGGATGTCTGGCGAAGTAGGTCCTGCGGAGGATGGCGAGACCTACGCATTCGGCGAAATTGCATCAGGTAAGATCGTTCGAAGACGTCGCTCAGGAGACGCACCGGCGGGTCCCTTCTCCCTCTGAGCCAACTCGACGCATCGCTGCGACAAGGTCGGATACTGCTCGGTCAGGCGTGCGCGTATCCGCATGCGCTCAGCGTCGCCGCTGACCCACATCCGTTGATATGCGTCGTTGTACGCCTCGAGGCGCTGTGCAATGTCGGCCTCGTCCCGCTCGTACTGCTCCAGCACCTCCTCCCAGCCCGAGTACATCCAGTACAGCTGCTCGAACTCGTCATAGTAGGCGCTCTTCTCTCCTCTGTCCATCTCTGCTTCTATAGCGTCTTGTATGAGCGGCGGCAAGAACTTGGTCAAGTCGGGCACGGAGGAGAGAGGCATCCGCTCGCAGGAGGCGGAGGAGCTTGAGCGGGGGCGGGGGACAAGGTAGACGCCGTTGAGGGCATCTGTAGCGTTCTAGCGAGACTGCAAACAAGCCAGTCTGAGCGACGAGCTTGAACGGCGGAGGGGTGAGCAGCGACTTCACCTCCTCGCCGGCGACATCACGCCGCTGCTCCCGCTCTGTCTCGCTAGCTGGTCTGTTAGTGCTCGAGTGCTAGAGAGATTGATTGGAGACCAGGTGCGCTCGTCTCCCGCCGTCCCGGAGCTTTGCATCCACCTCTCTCACCTTGTTCGCTTCCCGGAACTGATGAGGACCTCACAGCAGAACTTCAGCTTGTGGCGACCTGCGAGCACCGCCGAGATACATCAGACGCCTACTTCAGCCGGCTGCGCTTTCGCCGCCGCCTCCCCCCCTCCCGCATCGCCCGGTGTGCCCGCGGCAGATCGCCATGATTCCTCGACTTGCCCTCCGCACGCCGCTACGGACGGCTCACGCATCCTTGCGACGTTCCTCCCAGCGATTTGCATTCCTGCCACCCACTCTCGTCTCGCAACGGCTCCCCATCAAGCCATCCTCGCCCTTCCTTCTCCCGCTGCGATTCGCCTCGACCACTCCATCTCCTTCGGCCGAAACGGTTCCTGCGCAAATAGCGAAACCTCCATCGCCTCAGTTCCCCATCCCGTCTTGGGCGGAGAAGCTGCCGAAGAGCTTGAGATGGACGCACCCGTATCTCAGTCTTGCGAGGATGGACAAGCCTATCGGGACGTGGCTGCTCTACTGGCCTTGCGGTGCGCTTCCTCCAACACTCTGCGACGTGACAGTAGCTGACGCACGCCCTCTCGCGCAGCTTGGGGGATAACGATGGCGGCCTACTCTTCAGCGCTTCCGGTGTCGAGCTGGGCTTGGAATCTTGCGCTCTTCGGAACGGGAGCAATCGTTATGCGAGGAGCAGGGTGCACGATCAACGACCTATGGGACCGGAACATCGACAAGAAAGTTGGTGCGCCGCGAATGTGTTCCAGCTTGCCAGACTCCAAGTTGACCTTCACCGGCGCCGCAGACCGAACAAAGATGCGGCCGATCGCGTCTGGAGAGGTCAAGCCTATACAGGCGATAACATTCCTCGGCGGCCAGTTGAGCGTCGGACTCGCCATCCTCACGCAGCTAAATTGGTACAGGTGCGTCTCCGAACCTCGTCTCGCATACGCTTGGCCGGTAACTGACGATTGTTCTGGGCGCAGCATCGGTCTCGGCGCTTCATCGCTCTCGCTCGTCGTCCTATACCCGCTCATGAAGAGGATAACCTACTGGCCGCAGTTTGTTCTCGGTCCGTTGACCCGCGTGCTGGCTTTGGACGTATCGTGGGCTGACATTCGGAACCCCACAGGCATGGCTTTCAACTGGGGCGCCTTGCTCGGCTCTTCAGCGGTTCTTGGCGTCTGCGACTGGCAGGTTGCGCTTCCGCTGTACGCCGGCAGCATCGCCTGGACGATCGTCTACGATACCATCTACGCGCATCAGGACAAGGTGGACGACGTCAAGGCGGGCGTCAAGTCCACCGCTCTCCTCTTCGCCGAACGCTCGCGACCCATCCTCACCGCCTTCTCCGCCTCGTTCATCTCGCTCCTTGCGCTTTCCGGCTACCTGAACGCTCAAGGTCCCGCTTTCTACGCCTTGTCGGTCGGTGGAGCGGCAGCACACCTCGCGTGGCAGCTGAGGAACGCGGATTTGGACAGCAGGGAGAGTTGCTGGGAGATGTTCAAGAGCAATCGGGATCTCGGGGCTATCGTATGGAGCGGGATGGCTATCGACTACGCGCTCAAGCTGAGCGGCGTGATGTAGACGGCAATGTTTGACCAATCAAGCGAAGTTGCAGTCACGAGACGCTGTTACTTGACAAGCGCTGCCTCGCACAACTCGAGCAAGCGGTTCCTCCTTGCACCTACGCTTCCCTGCGACGTCCCGTTCATCATACTCCCCTGCGATGCGCCCGGTCCACCGTCGTCCAGAGCCATGCCATCACCCGCCATCGCGAGTCGCGCAACTCGACCCAGGATCTCCGCCAACCGCCCCGCCTTCCGCTTCGCCGTCCTTTCCTCCGTCTCCTTCATCAGCTCGAGTCCTTTCGCCTTCGCCGTATCCAAGACGCTCTGCGGAAGATCGGCAAGGCGCGCAACATTGAGGCCGTGTGAGGCGCTGGCGAGTCCATCGGCGAGGCGATACAAGAAGGTAACGTCGGCGTGGCCGTCTTCGCGCGGCGTCTCGATGCACGCCATATGATTCACGCTGACGGACTCGGGGAAGCGTTGCGCGACGAGGGCGAGCGAGGGGTAGTGCGTGACGAAGACGCATGTCGAGCGTTTCGAGCGGACGATGTACTCGAGCACGGCTGCTGCAATCGCTTGGCCGTCGTTCGTAGAGGTGCCGCGACCGAGTTCGTCGAGAACGAGGAGGGAGCGAGGCGTGGCGAGGCGGAGAATCTCGGACGTTTCGGTCAGCTCGACCATGAAGGTGGACCTACCGCGAGCGACATCGTCGTTCGCTCCCATGCTGCGTGGCGGTGTCCGTCAGCACTGCCACACAGCTGCAAGGGTTGCGGACTCACCGAGTGTAGATGCCGTCGAATAGGCTGGTCGTGCAGGATTCGGCCGGAACGAAGGAACCGATTTGAGCAAGGAGGGCGATGAGCGCGATCATGCGTGAGAGGCTCGACTTGCCTGCGACGGGTGCTATAAGTACGGCGAGATCAAAGAGAAGTTCGAAAGCGACACACCGCCCATGTTCAGCCCTGTCAAGACCATCTGCCTCCTCTCGCCACCGCCAAACTTGACCGAGTTGGGCACGAACGGTTCGGGCGATACGTCCTCGATGATCGGATGGCGGCCGTCGACGAAGTCGATATAGCCGGGATCGTCGACGATAGTCGGGCGGACCCAATTGTTCGACAATGCAACGAGGGCAAGGCCGAAGAGGCAGTCGGCCGTCGCGACGGACGCAATGATTGTGCGGAACAATTCGTAGTGCGATGCAACCTCCCTGCGAAGCGAAGCTAGGTGAGTAAGGCGTGCGTAGTGCGAGGAGAGGGACATGCACGCACTGCAAGAAGGCGTGGAACGCTGCTTTCGCGGCTACGCGGGAAGGAGTGTGAGCGGCATCGCTGGGCCCGCACGAAGTCAGGACATACCTGCAGCGACCTTCTCCTTCCACTGCTCGAGCGTCTCGGTGACCATCTTGTGCAGCTTCGGACTGCGGTAGCGGTAGACCTGCTTCGTGCTGTTGATGCGGATCCAGTCGGCCGGCACAATCGTCTTCGCTTCGGCAATCTTGACCTCAAAGCTGTTGGTCCGTCGCATCAGTTGACGGCCCACTCACGCGGTCTCGAGAGGGACGCACAGGTACTCCTCCTGCGCGACCTTTGTGAACTGGAGGGCCGGCTTGCGCAAGACCTTGCGGGCGCTCTTCAGTTCGTCCTGCATGTCGTCGATCGTCCGTGCGAGTCCAGCCTTGCATTTCTGTAGAGTCGATCTGTCAGCACTGCACCACTGCTGCCGAGTTGCGGTGGTACGCACCTTGAGGTCAGGGTATTTGTCCTCGTTGACGAACAGCTCCTCCTTGTTGTTGTCCCTCGCCCGCTTGCCGTCCACCTCAGCGAGCAGCTCGTCCGCCGTCTGCTTCACGTTCGGCAGCTCCTTGACGACAGACTCGAGCAGCGTGCTCTTCAGTCCACCGCCCGCTCCTCTCCTGATCGGTCCGTTGTCATCCGCCTCAGCGCCGTCTTTGTCCGGCGAGTCGACCTCGACAAAGACGTCTCCGATACGGCGGAAGGCTTCGAGTACGCGGAGGAGCTCGTTTGGGGTGGCTCGGCCGAAGTGAATGCGGGACAGGCCGCGTTCGAGGTCGGGCAGGTGCTTCAAGAGGTCGCGCAATCTCGAAAGGGTGAGCGAAGCGGACAGACGGTGTATGTCGGCAATCGCGTCGAGCCGTTCTTCAACGAGTCTGCACGAGCAAAGTGAGCGAGGCGAACTCGAGAAATGGTGGCGACAACTGACTCTTTCGACAGCGAAGGCTTCGTCAGCCACTTGCGGAGTAGCCGCTTGCCCATCGCCGTCTTGCACTTGTCGATGCAAGCGATCAAGCTGCCGTGCTCCTTAAAGTCGGTGTTGTTGCGAAGTAACTCGAGATTCGCCACCGTATTGCCGTTCAGGTTCATCGAAGCACGGGAGGCGAAGGGCGTGAAAGAGGAGGTGTGGGAGAAGATGTTGTCAAGGTTGAAGGGCTTGAGATGCGAGATGAGCGAAGCGAGGGCGATAAGGACAAGTTTGGGAAGGTCGAGGATCGCGGCTGAGCCTGCGAGATCGCTGTCAGCCAGGTGCGCTTCAAAGTCAAGCGAATGTAGAACGCGCCGTTCAGAGCGGCTCTGCTGATCTCCGTGTCCGCGCCTTCGCCCTCGTCGCCCGAAGACAAGACAATCTCGCTCGACTCCTTCCGCAAAGCTTTACCGTTGGACGCCTTCTCCTTGCCCTTCTCCCGCTTCTTGATGCTAGCAAAATAGTCCGAAATCTGCGACGTAGCTTGCGAGGCGGAAGCGCGTTTCGAGATGCGGTCGATGCGAGAGCGAAAGTCGGCGGTGCCGGCGCTGCGAAAGGCACGACCGTAAGCGGGACACGTATGGCACGCAAAGAATCTCACACACTTGTGCTGACCGACGAGATGCTGGACCATCGACTCGGTCTTCGGGCTGAGCTCTTTTTGCAGGAGAAGCTCGCTCGGCTGAAGATGCAGCATGCGAGTCTCAAGCTCTGAGCGCATCAAGCCGTCCTCGAACTCTGAGATGGGCACATATGCGTCAGCTCGGTTGCGAGGAGCGAGCGTCAGCACGCAACACACCATCGTAGACAACCTGACCCGTCGAAGGCACGACCGCGACCATGCCGATCTTGACCTTTGCATCGGGCGCCTTGCCGAGCTTGTCTTCGACGATACACATGATCGTCGCAGTCGAGCCGGTCGTCGTCAGCGGATCCACGCCAAGCTCGTCGACATAGGTCGCAGATGTGTACAAGGCGGAAAGGGCGCGGGTAAAAGGCGCCGAGCGGTTCTCCGAAGCCTTCTTGAGTCTGTGATACCACGTCAGCGGCTACTCCCTTCCGTCGAAGGGATCAAGGGAAACGCACGCTGCCGTCTCTTGCTGACGAATAACGCCGACCTTGTATCCCGCGTTCAAGAGTCGCTTGACGTGAACATCGAGTCGGTGCGTCGGGATGGAGGCGGTGAGCATGTGCTGAGAAGGGAAGCATGCGATGTTGAGGATGCGCGAGGCAACCTGGGCGTCTTCGTCGAAGAAGCGGAATCTGCGAACGACGCTATGAGCCTTGGTCCGCTCGCGCGAGCAGTAGAGAAGAGCGCACTTGTATCCGACCTCGATGACCAGGAGAACGCCAGGATGAGCCATGCGGAGAGCCAGGACTTGCTGCTCGAGCGGCGTGTACTTGACCTTCTTGCCCTCCGACGAGCCCTTTCCACCTGCCTTCGTCCCCTTCGCCGCGAATCTGGCGAGTCGCGACGGCGTATCATCGCTCACCGTCGCCTTGCCCTTTCCCTTGTCCTTCGCCCGTGCAGGAATCGAACTCGACAACGAGTCCGATTCTGCATCCTCCTCAAAAACCTCTGCCATCATCCTCGGACTGCCAAGTCCTCCTGCAGGACTACCTTCGCCATTCGCATCGTCGTCGCGCGCTGCGAGGTAGTGCTCCTTCTGCAGGTAGCTTGTGCGACGCTTGAGCAGGTCGGGACCGAGCGAGAGCTTCTTGACGAAGGCATCATGTCGCGCCTTGTCCGCCGAAGAAGGGAGCGAGGGAGCTTTCGGTGCCGAAGGATCCGGTTGCGAATATGCAAACTGGCGCAGGCGCCGAGACGAGGGCGACTGAGGGTCTCGAGGAGGGGAAGTGGCGGTCGTGGGGAGTTTACTGGTCGACGCGATGGGCTGGAGTTGACTGCCGCGGCTGTCGTGCTCAGTCTTGACCCTCTTGACGCCCTGCGCTGCCTTCTCACCGCGCCCTGCCTGATCCCTCACCTCCTCATCCTCATCGCTCGAGTCGAGGACGAGGACCGACTCCTGCTTCTGGGGGACCGGAGCACGGCCGAAGAAGGACGAGATGGACTGTTGGCCGCCGCCTTCAGCCTTCCTGGGTGGCATCGAGCCTGACGGAGCGGGTGGTCAACGGCAGAGACGCCGGTCGGGCCCCCTGCTCTCCTCGACTGCCTCACTTTCGCCGCTATGCCGTACTTTCTGCGAGAACCGGAGTCCATAGTCTCTCCTGATGCTAGAGCAAGAGCGGAGCAGAACCAGGTTTCCCTGTTCCGACAGAAGGCCCGTCTACAAGAAATTCCCCTCTTCCTCCGTCTTCACGTCGACGACTGCGCCATTCTCTGCTCCTTCCCGCTCCGCAGACTGCAGGGAAGAAGACCCAGCCTCATCCTTCTTCACGTCATCTGCAGCCGCGACCGCATTTTGCTTCGCAGTCGACTCTTCTTCCTGCACGCCGTTCGCCTTAGCGCTCGACCCGTTCGCCACTTCCGACGAGAACGATTTTTGAGTCGGAGGGGGCGACTTGATTGATGCTGGTGGGCTCGTCACGTCGACCAGCGATCCAGTCGAGCTCCTTCGTCGAGCTGCCTCCTCAAGTCGTTCCTTGAGGGACTTCCTCTTCGTCGGCGTCGGGACGGGAGGCGGCGTGGTGATTGGCGGAACGGGAGACTCTGAGGGAGGGGGGCGTGGTGCAATATCGACAGCGGGTACTGTAGGCGTGTCGGCGGGAGTTTGCGAAGCTGCGGCTGGCTCGTTCGACGATCCCGCTTCGGCAGCGGCTTGCTCCGGCTGTGCTTCGTCGATTGAGGGATCCCTGGACTCGGCATTGGTCGGCGAAGGTGCGGAAAGCGTCTGATCGGCTTGCGAAGCCAAAGGTTCCGCTGGAGCTGGTTCGTCGACGGTGTTGGTCGCGGCCGGCGCAATTTCCGGCACTTCAGGTGCCGCAACGTGCGCCTCGAATGGCTCGGCGGATATGTCGATACCCTGCGGCGACGATGCCGTCTCCTGCTCACCGGCCTCCCCGTCCCCATCGGCGGACGGTTCTGGCGCGTGGTCCGCAGGAAGCACAGGCGCCTCTTCGACGGCACCGCTAGCTGGCCCGTCCGGCTGATCGGTCGACGTGTCGGGCGTGGCGGAAGAATCGGTGTCGACGAGATCGAGCGAGAGTGGCGCGTGAGAGGCGGGAGGGCCGGTGGCTTTGACAACCTCCTCAACGGCGACTGCCAACTTCTCTGGCGCAGGCTCGGCTTTGACTGGCTCAGGCGTGGCGATGGAGTCGATCGACGCTTCAGCATCGGAAGTCGCCGCCGCACCTTCAGCTTCAGCCTCTTCCGGTTCCGCCTCTTCCAGCTTCGCCTCATCCGGCTCGGTCTCCTGCAGCTTCTCCTCGGCAACCTCCTCCGCCTTCTCCTCTTTCAACTCCTCCTCGACAGCCTTGACAACATCCTCCAGTTCCTCCTTTCCGGATGTCGCCAAGGGTACCTCGACGTTCTCGAGCTCGAGTTGCCACTCGATAGAGGGTGTGTCGACGCCAATCTCGCCTTCCGTCGAGGTTCGCTGCGGGAGAGGCCGCACATCGTGCGACTCCGCGCTAGGATGAGCCTCAGACGCTGCAGACTCGCTCGACTGCCTCGGCGCAGCAGAAGTTGTCGCGGCTGGAGCGTCCGAAGCCGGAGCGGCGGGCGAAGGTGTTGCCTTCCGACCCATGCTTTCCGCAAGCCGTTCCGCCAAGCTCTTCTTCTTCTTCGAGACGTAGGGGGCAGGGGTGGCGGGTTTGGGCGAGGGAGGGAGGGCGGCAGGAACTGGCGCAGGCGAGGGCGGGTACGGCACGGATGAGGCGGGCGTGGCGGTTCCATCGAGAGACGTGCGCGGCGAGCGAGTGTCGTGGAGGGAAAGAGACGCGGCAGATGCAGATGCAGAGACAGAGGCGTAGGGAAGATGCGGCGTCGACGAAGCGGGTGAATCGGTAGCGTCGGAAGGTGCCGAGACGGGCATGGAGGCGGCGAATGGAGCCATCGACGACGTTCGAGGTGGCAAGGACGGCTTCGGGGTGGACAGAGGCGGTTTGGGCAGCGCCTTGGCGTTGACGAGGGCTTCAAGCTCCTGCGTCAGGGCAGAACCGTCAGCAGGCAGCTCCATGGCTTGCAGACGAACCGAACCGACCTTCGCCGGCCCCTGACCCTCTAGACCGCCTAGGTCGCCCAGCTTCTCGCGCAGGTACCGCACGTCGAGGAACATCCTGTCCTTCGCCTGCTGACTTCTCAGTTCAACGCGGCCGTAAAGCTCGCCGAGTCTCGAGTCAAGCGCTTTGAAGACCTGCGACATGATCTGCTGGACCGTCTCGGGCTGGAGGAAACGCGAAAGGACCTTGTGAAGCGTGATGTGCTCCTTGACGAGCCCTTCCATGTAGGCGTTCGGAGCGTCGGCCTTGGGCGCCGATTCCTCCCAGTTGATGCCGAAGAGCGTGCGAGAGTGGACTTCGAGGCGGTCGCTCATGATGGCGACGAGCTTGGCGTGAATCTCGTATTGGTGCTCCTGGTAGTCGCGCTTGAGCTTGTCGAACTCGGTGAGCATGACGGCCTGCTTCGGGTTGAGGTGTCGGCGGACGCATTCGCGGATGTACGGGATGAGGGCAATCATGATCGAAAGCGCTTGCGAGGCGAGGGCTGAGCGAGCGAGTCAGCACTCCGACCAAAGCAAAGGCAGCGATGGAACACACCGAGATGCTTGGCGGTGATGTTCTTCAAGCCCGCCGAGCGCATCGCACCGGCGCCGAGAACGACCTGACAGGTGCGGGAGTTGAAGACCTGCGCAGCGTGAAGGGATTAGCGAAGTTGCTCGAGGAGGTCGCAATGTGCGAGCCGCACCTTCATGAATTCGATGATCTTGCTCATGGCGTCCGTCGTGAGCATCGGGCAATTGAGCAGCACCTTGAGGTACTCGACGAGGACGCCGATAATCGTCAGGCCGGCCGATACCGCGAAGAACTGTCGTCCTTCGATGTCGACCTGCTTCGCGGACACAGGGCCCGAAGCCTCGCTGTCGCCCTCGCGAGCCTGCTCCAACGGCGCGTCGACGGCCGCGCTCCCGTTCAGCGCATCGGGCTGCCTGCGCAGGAGGAGCTGGACCGGATCCCGCACAGCGCTGTCAACGATGACGGCGATCTGCTTTTGAACCCGGGCAGGCACCTCCGCCGCAGCCCACTGCTCCTCCTCGACCACGCGCGCGTTGTCGGTGATCTGCCGCTGGTGAAATGTCTGCAGAAATGTCTTGGCCTGCGAGACCATCGCGCCTCGCAAACCGACGATCATCCGCTGACAGACAGTCTCGCAGTCCACGACGAACTGCCATGTGAGGTCGAAGATCTCGACAAAGTCGGCGAGCGGGAGCTGAGCGTGGACTTCGGTGCGGACGCCGATGACCTTGCTGAAGCGCACGTTCGCGAGTTCGGCGACAGCGTGGACGACGTCCGAGATCTCGGTTGAGAGGGACGAAGCGTCGTCGGTCGTGACTGAGGAGGCGTCGTTGACGGGTGATTCTTGAGGTTGGACTGCTTCCCCTTCGGCGCCCGGGACTTGCAGCGACGTCGGGGATGTGGGCGGTATGGGGTCACTTGTCGGCGGGTCGCCCAGTCGCCGCCGCTTCGACCGTCGCTGCTGCTCCTCCTGACGTCCGACCTGCCACAGCTCGAGCAGGAGACGCGCTTGCAAATCGACGACTTCGATACAGGCGAGTAATCCGCGGTAGGTCTCGCGAGCGAGGGCGAGGAAGGCGGGATGAGGCAGCGCGCGGAGCTTCTTCGCCAGCGAGAGACTGCAGAGAAGAGGTCAGAGATTCGCCCGATGGAAAAGTCGAAGCGGACTTGCCTCTTCTCCGAAATGGTGCCTAAGTCGATGCTCTGCTTGCTGACGGATCGTATCGCGGCCTGCGCGAACTGGTCCTCCTCCTCCGCTGTCGGCGTCTCGGCGGTCGGAAGGTGCTGCAGAGGTAGACAGTATGATTAGCAGAAACCAACAGTCGCGATAAAGAGGGGTACTCACCTCTCGCACAAGGGCCCTGATCTCCCGCAGCACCGACTCTCGCCACGCCGTCACTGCGCTATCCATGCCGTCTGACCGGATGAGCGCCCGCATGACCGGCCTGACACGCTCGACCGCGCGTTCTCGCGCACCTGCTTCTGGCGAGTCCTGCCTACCATCCGCTTCTTCGCCATCTTCCTCCGGCACATCCTGCAGCGCGCGGCCATTCGTCTCCGCCGCCGTCTCAACCGCCTTCTGCTTGCCCTTCCACCTCTTGCCCTCCTTCGCGAGCTTAACGTGCTCGTCAATCGCGACGTCCATCTCGTGCTCGAGGACGGTGGTGAGCTCGCCTTCGAGCGACTTGGCGATCTGGGCGCGGAGAAGAGAGAGTTTTGAGGGGAGAGACGAGAGGGCACGGAGTTTCGTCAGGTTGAGCGGTCGGCGGTTCGATGACTTCGCGCCGTTCCTCGTGCTCAGCGCTGAGGTGGACGCCGTCTTGTCGGAAGTTGAGGATGACGCCGAGCTGTAGTACGCATCCTCAATCTGTTCACTAACGTCGAGCGCCCCATCCCACTCGCCGTGCTCGACCAGCTCCTTGACGCCCTCGACCGCACTCCAGACCTCCTCGACAGCCCTGACGCTCTCCTCTATTCGCTCCAGCCCCCGTCGCCGAGCTTGCGCTCGCAGGATCTGCAAGCCGTGCTTGGCAGTTCCGCCAACTCCGCCTTCCGTAGCCGACAACGCGGCCTGGAGTTCCGCAATTTTCGACAGGGCGTCCTCGCCTTGCTGGTGGAGTGACTGAAGGTTGGAGAGCGCGGCGAAGAAGGAGGACGACCGGAGGCCGATCTCGCGAACAAGGTGGGACTCGATCACAGCCGTGTAGTGCGAGAGCTTCTCCTGCAGGACTTGGTCGGCTGCGAGGTCGTTGAGGGTATGCGGGCCGAGACCGGGGACAGAATCGAATGCCGAGCCTGCGGATAGTGTCGGCGTCGAGTCTGCTGAAGCGAGTCGAGGAGGCGGTTTTGACGGATCAGGCGAGGGATGGGGAGAGAGCTGGATGCGCTCAGTAACGAGGTCGAATGTGCGCGGATTCGAGAGGGTGAAAGACGAGTCGAAGAAGATCTGAGGGACCTCGTCGAGCGAAGGGAGGACCTCTTCCGCCTTTTTCGGGCGCGGTGCAGGCGGAAGGCCGGGCGTCCGGCTACTCTCAGCCTCGCCGCCGATACCTAGTCCGACACCATCCTCATGCCGCACATCAACGCTTCCCTCTTCGCCCAAGTCGGCCTCTCCGTCCCTGCCAAGCCTACTCTCCTTCTGCCACCGCTCAAACTCGCCGCCAATCTCCTTCAGATACGCATCGAACTCGGTCCGCTGGACCTTTCTGAGTTCTGTGACCTGGATCGGCGGAGCCTGCGACCGACGCTGCGCAACGGACTTTCCCCCAGGCGTCGCAGAGCGAGGGAGAGTGCCGGCCGAGGTGAACGTCGTCGAGAGCGACGAGAGTTGCGAGGGGAGGTACGAGCTGGCAGATGGGAGTGTCGGCAGTGCTGGCAGCAAGCTCGACGGGGCCTGTGGCTCCGCGAGGACCGTCGAGATGTCTGCAGAAAGAGGTGTGAGCACGCTGGCGTCGCGAAGTCGCGCTCGTGAGGGTCGAACGCACCGTAAGGGTTCTTCACTGCGGCGTCTCGTCCATCCTGCGTGCTTGCCCGCCCTGCCCGCACCGTGCCAGCGTGCGACTCCGCTCCAGCAGATGCCAGCGAGACCCTCGATGCGGAGGCGCTCTCGGCCGGCGACGAGTAGCGCGGCGTGGCCATACGTTCTGATGGCCTCTAAGGAAGCGTGTCCCAGCCAGTCAGACGAGCGGAAGCGGTGTCGTGGTCTCCCAAGCCTCTTCCGCCTGGCGAGGCCGCGGGTCTGCCCTCGTCCACCCACTCTCACTCGCGCTAGACTCGCTTGCTTGCCCTAGACGGCTGACTAGTACTGCTTAACGATGCCTGCCGACCGCCTGGACACGATACTCTGCGTCGGAGGCGAGTTGTAGCCTCCTCCACTCTCAAGTTCCCCACCTGTGCTGAACACGCTCACCGCACGCTCGCAGACTCTCTGACGGAGCTGTCGTGGGATGAGAAGGGTCTCGGAGCGTCGCTCGCTCACCTGTACCAGCGAAAGCTGTGAGTCACCCTGTTCCTCCCGGTCGCTCGTCGTCCGATCGGCTTCGAGGGTGCTGACCGCGTCCTTCGGAACGCAGAGACGTCATGAACCGTGGTCTGTCAGGCTACAACACGGACTGGGCGCTGGCATGCCTGAAGAAGGTGCTGTTCGCTCCGCTTGCCTCGCTTCTCCCTTCCTACTGACGGTTTCCTCCTACAGTGGCTCCCCCTGAAAGACTCAGATGCGCCCAAGACGCAGATTATGACGATCTGGTTCGGCGCAAACGACGCCACGCTCGAAGGCGAGCTCCAGCACGTCCCCCTCCCCCGCTTCCGCGACAACCTGCGCCAAATTGTCTCGCTCGTGCGCGACCCTTCCTCTCCTCACTACTCGCCTGAGACCTCCGTCATTCTCATCACTCCTCCGCCCTTCCACCCCGAGTCGTGGCTCGATGAGCGGGAGCGGCGCGAGCTTCCTCGAGTTTACGACCGCGACCCGGAAAACACGAAGCGCTACGCCGAGGAAGTCAAGAGTCTCGGGCAGGAGCTGGGCGTTCCGGTGGTCGACGCATGGTCTGCAGTAATGCGCGAGGCCTCGAAGCCCGAAGTCGGGCTCGGGAAGCTCTCGAGCTTCTTCACAGACGGCTTGCACCTGAACGCTCAGAGCTACGCGTACATCGTCGAGGAGCTCAAGAACGTGATTGCCAAGAACTATCCGGAGAAGCACTGGGAGAAGCTGCCGATGCTCTACCCATATTGGCGCGATGTTCGTGCGTTCAGCCCTTGTCGCTCTTCCAACTTGTTCCGAGCCTGACTGATTCTCTATCTCGCAGCTGCCGGGGGTGCATCCTGGACTACTACCCTACACGGTGATACAGCCTGACGTTTGCTCTCCCGCAGCTCTCGGTCCCGAGTTTGACCAGACGCAGAAGGCCGTGGCGGAGACAGCAGCAAAGGGAACCGACCCGTTCTAGACGGCGCAAGATCTTGATACGCAGAGTCACGAAGAGGGCATAGAGCGGCGGCTGCGAATGCAATATGCGAAGTCATGCGAGAAAAACCATCTATCGGGCGGCAGGAATGCTACTACGGCGCCTCAGCGCTCTCCTCCTCACGTTCCTTCTGCTCAAAGTCCGCCTCGCATTCCGTGATTGGCCATGTACCCTCGTGGATCATCGTAAGCGGATCGACAAGGCCGCGCTGGAGGCGGAGGAGGCCGACGAAGGCGATCATGGCGGCGTTATCTGCCGACGAGAGCGTGTCAGCGAGAGTTGCAACAGCACCTCGAGCGCTCGAACTTGCCTGTGCAAAAAGCTGGCGGAGGGAAGATGAGCGGGAGTTCAGGTCTGCCAAGCGAGTCCAGCTTCGCGCGTAGTCTGTCGATTCGCGTGAGTGTCAGCTTCGGGTGGTAGGTCGTTAGACAAACCAGAAGCGGACCTTTGCCTGAGGACCAGGTTACTAGCAACTCCGCCGCTGACGACCAGACCCTTGACTTCCTGTCCCTCCCTACCCAGCTTTCGCATCGCCATCCCGACTTTCTCCCCTATATGCTCGAACGCCGCCTCCAGATAGCACCTGGCGATTTGTCTTCGCCGCGCGTCTGACATTGAGGCGGCGGGCTCGGCATCGAGGATGCGAGTGACGGCTGATCGGATACCGGCGTATGAGAAGGCCATTTCGCGAGGGAAGGGGATTGTAAATGAGGGGTCTGGCGGTAGGTCGGTGGAAGAAGGAGCGGCGGGAGCGCCGGGAGCGGCGGAACCGCCTGGAAAGGCAAACTTTTCGAGCGCGGCGCCGGGCGAACCTGCGCCGAGGGCCCAGGGTATCTGCAAGGCCCGGGCGACCTTGTCTATTGATGCGCCGATACTCTCGTCGTGAGTCGTGGCTAGGATGGAGAAGGAAGAGATGGAGCGAGCGAGAAGGAGGAGGGTATGGCCGCCGGAGAGGAGGAGGGTGAGGAAGGGAAACTCTGGTGCGGGAGAGTCGGTGTTGGGTGATGCCGTAAGGAAGGGTGTGAGAGCGTGCGCTTGCTGCAAAGAGAGCAGAAAGGTCAGCAGTCGCAGGGATGGCTGCGGAGAGACGAAGGGTCGCACCATGTGGTGAACGCCCAGCAACGGCTTGCCCGTCGCCGCAGCGAGCGCCTTTGCAGATGCGTTACATACGGCCAGGCAGCCTGGCATGCCCGGCCCTCGTGTACAGGCGAAAGCGTCGATGTCGGCAAGGGACAAGTTCGCTTCGCTGAGGGCGCGCGAGATCGCTTCCGGCATGTTGGCTTGATGAGCCTTCATCGCATGCATGGGGTGTATGCCACCGAAAGACTCGTGAATCGAGTGCTGCTTGATGACGACGTTCGAGAGGATCTTGCGGTCGCTCGAGACGATGGCGGCGCAAGTGTCGTCTGCGGGTCAAGACCGTCTGTGAGCCCGATCATGCGGCAGGAGCAGATTAAAAAGCTTACCTGCTGAGCTCTCTAGCCCCAAGACGAGCAGGGGATGAGTAGCAGGCCCGGTCGACAGCCCTCGACGGAAACTTGCAGCGAAGACCGGCCGCAACAACGACTCGACGACCTTCCTCGCGATTGCCATGGTCGCGGGCCACCTAGTATTCCAACCACTCGCTACTAGGACCAGTCGACAGGCGCCCTAGAGTGGTTTCGTCGAGTTGAACCGTTTCGCTGATGAGAATTGAGGAAGCGGGACAGTTTCGCGGACCGGCTTGTGAGCGCGCAGGTCGACTCAAAAGACGTCAAAAGGCAGCTGTACGACGCCTCGAAGCCTCAAGAAAGGCAGAGCGATGTGAGCAGAGGCAAGTCTCCGTCGTCGAACTCGCGTCCCCTCTTGGTCCGCTTCGATTCACGACATCACGCTATGCAGTCGATTGAGGGCTACTACCAGACTCAGCCACCGCCTGGCTTCTCCCTCAAGCGCCGCAGCCGCTCCCCATCGCCCCAGTCGAACAAGGTGCGTCGCTCGACCTCTTGCCTCTCGAGCCGACGCAGACTCACCGACTCGCCTTCCTTTCGAGCAGCGTCGCGTGCCATCGTCTTACGCACCCACGATCTACACCAATCTCGCCCCGCCACTCGGCAACAACGGCGCTCGCACGCTCTCGACTGAAGCCGTCGCAAGCACCCCTGCGAGCGAGAGGTCGAGCCCCGGCCTCGACTGGCTGCAGCGAACGCAGGACTTGCAGTTGCAGACGCCGCCTCTCCAGGTCACGCGAGACGCGAATGGAGCCGTGACTGCGAGGGATAGGGATGGAGATGTCGGGATGAGCGGAGGAGGTGGGGCGAGCGATGTAAGTCCGCCTGGAGTGGTGCCAGACGTCGACGCACGCTGAGGAGGCTCGCATGACCCGCAGATCATGCAGGACGACGACCCGCAACAAATGCCGATCCACTCGCCACGCCCAGCCGCCCCTTTCTCCTTTCACACCTCGTCCAATCCACCCTCCCTGCAATCCTTCCTCGCCCAGACCGCTCCTCATGACGCTCCGCCTCTGCATCAACACCTCGCCGGCTCGCCCCAGGCCAGCGGCATGTCTCGCTCTTCCTCTTCCTCCTCCGTCCAGTCGATGCACTTTGCCGCCGCACCTACGTTCCCGACTCTCCCGACGCATCACGAGCAACAAGACGCGATGATGACGCCTGTCAACTCGCCGACAAAGAGGCAGGGCGGGACGGGTGGGTGGAAGGTCACGATGGGGTACCGGCCGGATTGTCCAAAGTGCCAACAGAGGATCCCGGGACACTACTCGCATGTCGTCTACACCGAGTAGGGTAGGAGGAGGTCGCTTGAGCTGTCTGCCCGCATTAACGAACCTGTCACGAATTCCCTTCTTCTCGCCGCTTTATTCACCCGCTTTTCTTCCGTCGTTGTTCATACCCTTCCGTTCGTCGCATTCCCCGCATACATGTCACGCACACTTTGCTCTCTTCTCGCACCTCGCGCAATGCACAGATCTTCGCATCAACCTCGTTATGGTCGGGAATAGCAAGCGAGTACGCGTTGCAAGCGGTTCTTCGGTCACTCGTGACGCTCACTCAGCCTCACTTCTTCACGCTGCGTTTCCTCCCGCTGCGTCGTTCACCCGCCTGACTATCATCGTCAGCCTCCGCCTTCACCGCTTCCGATTTGCCAAAGTGCGGCGAGACCTGCTCCTCAACACCGTGAGCATGCGGTCTCTCGCTGAGAGGTGTAGAGCGTGACGTACCACCTCTCCCTCGTCCACGTCTGCCTCTCCGTCATCCGCCTCATCCTCGCTCTCCTCTTCCTTCTTCCTCTTCCTCCTCCCCTTCCCGCTCGCCTTCTTCGCCCCAGCCGCTCCCGCCAAAAACTCCTCAGGCAACACCTGCACCTTATCAACCACCGCGCTCGTCCTTCCTCCGACCGTGACAAACGAGATAGTCGAGGTCGATCCGTCGGGCTGTCTCCTCGCCCCATCAGTTCTCCCGGCATAATACAAGCGAGAGAGGAGGGACGCACCAACACGAATTCGTCACCCTCCTTCTTCCTCTTCCCCTTCCCCCACCGGTACTTGAACAACCAGTCCTTCGGGAATTTTTCGGCGTCAGCATCGACTGCGACTGCGGTGTTCACGACGGATTGGATTTGGGTGTGCAGGGTGGTGAGGAGGGTGGAAGAGGTGGGGAGGGAGAGATAGGTCGAGGGGAGGGAGGGGTGCTGTGAGGGAGAAGGTAAGCTGGGAGAGGGAGGAGAGCGAGAGGACGGACGATGGCGGACTGGTAGAGGATCTCGTCGACGAGGTAGTTGCCCAATCCGCAGAACGGCTGCATGCGCAGACGAGGGTTGGGCAAGTCTGATGAAAGGGAACGCAAGCGAGACGCACGCCGTTCTGGTCGAGCAAGACTGCTTTGATCGGGGCTTTGCGTTTGGCGAGTGCGGTACGGAGGGTGTCGAGTGAGGGCATGGCGAGGAGCGGGTCGGCGCCTGGCGGGATCAACAAGTTCCGTCAGCCCAGTATCTGGAAAAGCGGTTCGCAGCGCAGTAACGCACCCAGCTCGCTCAAAGGCGGTACCTTCTCGACCTCGTTCGCTTCGGCATCAACGAGCTTGATCCTCCCCAGCCTCCTCGCATCGCAAAACGCCCACTCCGCCACCTCCCCTGCCTCGCCCTCGAACTCGATCCATGTCTTCGCATACTTGGGCGGCCATTCCCGACTCGCTTCGACCGCAGACGACGAGGACGAGCGATATGCGATAGGGACCTCGCCACGGATTTGGGCTTGGCCGGACATGCCGAAGTGTAGGATTGGGTGTGGAGGGGAGGACAGGACGAGGTAGAAGTTCTTGCCGAGGCGCTTGACGAACTCGACGGTCTTGCCTTCGAGCGCTTTCGTCTGCGCGGAAACGGTCAGCACGAGGCAAGAGAGGGGAGGTGAAGGAACTCTGCGTACGAAGTCGTCGTGTGTTGTCCCCGAAAAGACGATCGGGTCCTCCTTCGCCTGCACTCGCTTGATCCTCTTCCCCTTTGCGATACTGCGGACATTTGAACCGACACGGAACGAGCCTTAGCCGCGAAGCAAAAAGAGCGGGTCGAGCGAGGGAGACGGGCGACGCACCCCTCGAGCTTCTTGCGCGCCGCCTCGACTTCCGGTAGCTCGGGCATTACGTAACGGTGTCGACGCGCAGGATCGGCCAGCAGATGGCGAGGTGAGCGTGAGAGATGAGAGCGAGAGATGAGAGCAGGAGAGGGAGGGTTCGACGAGGCTGGCGGCGATCCCTGGCGGCGGGACGAAGCTGGGCGTTGAGAGCAATCGACTACAGTGGTGGCTCTAGTGAGCCTGTCAGTCCCACCAAGTGACACGATGTGAGCCGTTCGTCGCTGACCCTCCTCCTCATCTCGGAACATGGCTTGATCTCGACGACGAGCGACTCGCTCGCTCTGCTGGCTTGCAGGCTGCTGATTACGACTGTTACAGCTCTGATACACTCATCCAGCCCAGTCTGAGCCCCCTGCCCGTTCGCGGCGACCCCTTGCACCACCGCACCACCTCGATCTCTCTGACGACCTCGACCCGAACTCGGCCATTTATCTTGCCCAACAAGGCCAGCGAGGGTCGTTCTCTCCCTCTCACAGCTCTCCAGACTCGCCGCATCACTCGACCATGGCTTCAGCGCGGACGATGCAGACTCACCTCGCATCGGGCACCGGAGGAGGGGCGGGACAAGGCAGCGGTGGTCAAGCAGGGCAGATCGAAGCGAAGCGGGCGCGCAACAAGCTGCGCAAGGAGGAACGGACGGGCAGCGTCCTTCCGCCGCCCAGCCAGTGGAGCAGGGGACCGATCGTCTATGGACATGCGACGGCTTTGGGCGGAGTAGGGCAGACGGGGTACCAAGCAGCGCTGCCCTCGTCCAGCTATGCGACGAGTCAGACGGGCGCAGGGTACGCGGCGGGAACGAGCTACGGGACGATGGGGACGGCGTACGGCACGACGAGCGGGATCAGCGCAGGGAAGGGCGCGTACGGTGTCGGCCAGACGACAAGCGGGCGGCTACAGGCCAAGATCGAGGAGGCAAAGGAGAAGAGCAAGGAGCGGAGGGAGCGACATCGGGCGAAACGGCGGCCGGACGAGATTCAGCAGCGGAACTTGGTGGTCGACAACGAGGGCGTCGCGCACGACTCGGAGTGTGCGTTGCGGTTCCTCGCATCGCTCGATTGGAACTCACTGACGCTGATTATCCCGCAGACGTCCAGTTTCGGACAGCGACGCCCGTGCACCTCCAGCGACGGCAACTTGCGGCGCTCAACAACCCAAACGACGACGACTCTGCCTCGTCCTCGTCTTCCTCCGAATCCGACCGTGACTCTGCCTTCCACTCTTCGCCCTACACCTACCAATCGACACATCGGACAACGACGACCTCGTCCCATCCGCACCGCCACCATTCGTCGTCCCTCTACCCTCCGACGATCTCTGCCATCCCGCCTTACCTCGCCGATCACAGCCGAACATCCATCGACGCCGGCCCGTCCTCCCTCTCTGTCCCACACGCGCCCGACTCCAGCCGAAGACCAAGCGGCTCAGCCTCGCTCTACAACGGAGCCTCTGCTTCGAGCGCGGCATACGACCGCATCGGCCCGGGCTACGGCTCGCGCGTCACGTCATCAAAGCTGAGATCAGTCTCCACGCCCGTCCGCCAGCACCCGACGACCGCCTCGTACCAGCCTCCCGCACCTGCTTTCAACCCGAACGACCCGCTGCGACTACCCACTCTCGGCACCTCCATCGTCTCAGGCGGCGACGCCTCTTTCAACCAAGAGTCCACCGCACGCCTCTCGCTTGGTCCCGACTCGACAGCCGGCGGCGCAGGCCAAAGCGGCTACGACAAAGCTGTCAAAGCAGGGCATGCGTCTTCGTCCACCCGCCCGCCGAAGATGGACGGGTCGGCGATGGGTGCGGGCATGCACGGCTTGCAGAGGAGCTTTGATGCGTTCAAGCTCGACACGAGGTTCGCGGCGCACAAGGTCGGGAAGAAGATTAGTCGCAAGTTGAACTCGGTCCTGTAGCGTCGCTGGGGCGTCTATACTTATCTCCCTCGCGCTCATACACACTCGCACGTCATGCACACACTCTCTCGCCCGCGCTGTACTCTTTGTCGTCCTCGCGCTCTCCCTCTCGCTCCCTCAAGCAGTCTTTGTTGTCGCTCCTGCTTCTCGCGCTCTCGAGCTTTGCGTTATTCTGCAGGACGCCACTTCCTCATGTTCTGCTCCACTGGCGCGTGGAACTGCCGGCTTGAAGCTTGAAGGGCTTTGTCTACGTCGCTTGCGCATCTCTGCAGAACTTCGCTTCTTCTTCTTCTTCTTCTTCTTCTTCTTCTCCTCCTCACCTCTCTCTACTGCTTGCTATCGAGCAAACGCCCTGCCAACCGCACCACAGCCCACCACCGTTCGCCAACCCGGGCCAGCCCTCGCACGCGCCATTTTTTGCAGTCTCGCCGCCCTCCTTCCCCTCGTCTACGTTGTGGCAGCCGTCCTGGGCGAGGGAAGCCAGAACTTGGCCGCCCGCGCTCTCGCCTACATCCCCCGTTATCTCTACCGCTTCTGCGCCGACACGTTCCAGCCCTTCCTCGAGCTCGGCACTCGCCTCGCCGTCTACCTTACGCAGCACTGGATCCTCACCGGGTGCCTCATCATTTGTGCGGCTCTGGTGCAGACTACAAGTGCGTCGCCGTCCCTTTGTGTCAGCCAGACCGTCGGAAGACGCGTGAAAAGGTCAAAATCATTGGGATGTCAACGAGGGAGATATTGACCTTTGCCTTCAGCCGTTGCGACGATGGCAATCTGCGCCCAGTACGTATCTTCCCTGTCAGAGCGTCAATCTTTGCTGATCCATTTGCACACCTCGCAGAGTGACTCTGGCCAATCGCGTCGCAATCTCTTTTTTCGGATGCAACGCTCTCGTCCTCTCCTTCGTCGTGCCCAAGGTTAGCCAAGTTGGAGTCCTTGCGGTCATGTGCACGTTGTGGCTCTTGAATGATTGCGCGGCATTCGCCTGGCACGACAATACGACCTTACCGACCTACATTGTCGAAAAAGTTGCGTTGTTTTACGGTGCGTACAGTCCGTCTTGTGCTGCTTCCCTTCCTGCTAACCAATCCTCCACCAGACACGCTCCCGTACTACCACTACCACAAGAATGCGGCAGTCAAGGTGTGCCTTCTTCCCTTTTTACGGAGGAGAGGATGCGGTCCTTGAGCTGATCCTGATTGACACTGGACTTTCGCAGCCGCTCGACTCGCCAACCCTTTCAAAGGCCGAGGAGGGCCGCCGCCCGCACCAGCAGCAACTGTCGAGCGGCACCTCGCCGTGAAGACTCGTCGTAAAAACACCTCCTTCTCAGCGCCTCTCCTACCCCGGCCTCAGATTTGCAAGTTCCGCCCCTCCGTCCTGTTGTGCAGTTCTGCATGAAGCTCCTGAAATTGTACATCTCGCTCAGTCAAGCAGGTCTGATTGTCACAACCTCCACGAAGTACAACATTCCAACATTGCAACACAAAGCGCAGATCAGCTGCTACCGAAACGTAGTCGTCCAGTGGCACAACTAGTCGTGTGTGGGGTTCTCTGCACGTCAAAGCACGCCGAGCACAGCGAAGAAAGGCGCCCGCGACATGCGAGCCGTTCTCCTGACCGCTGCGCGAGCGCTGGTCGGTCGGTGAGGGCGGAAGCGATGCGGGCAGCGACAACTTCGCCTTGTTCCGTCGACGGCATGCGCATCTCGGTGCCGGACAGGAGCGAGCTGAAGAACGTCGACAGGTTCTGCTGGGTGTTGACGAGGTCGAGGTTGTCATCAACAGCTGCGCCAGAAGCGCGTCAGCCAGGCGCCAACAAAGACCATCACACGTGCTATCTCACCCTCCAGCGCTCGTTGCACGTCCTCGCCCTCGAACGCCTGCTGGTCGAGCTGCGCGACTTGCGCAAGCTTGCTGAGTGACAGCATGAGCTGCGATAGCATAAGAAGTTAGCGAGCAGCACGGTGACGGACTGACTGAGCGGACTCGCCTTCTTCGTCGCAACTGACGGCTCCTCAGCCGCCTCGGTCGAGAGCGCGAGACTGGCGTGGTCGAAGCGGTCGATGGCGACGTCGTTGATCCAAGCGAGCTCTGCGTGACGCGTCAGCTGCTATTTGCAGGCGAGAGGAGCACAGCGACGCACTGTTGTCGTCGGTTGAGTCGAGGAAAGCGATAAGCAAGGGGCGGTGCGCCTCTTCCGGCTCGAGCAGCGTGCGCAACTTGCCTGTCGGCGCAATGCAGTCAGAACATGGGCTTTTCCAGCCACTGAAGAACGCACCTTGATCCAGGTAGAAGCGGTACAGCGGGAAG